GTGTTTGTAAATGGGGAGGGGAGGAGGGGGTGAATGGAGGGCAGGGACAAGGGGAAAAATGAGAATCAAGACCTATTATGTAAAGGTATAGAATCCCAATGATGAATGTAATTGTATTGTATACCTAGATTGTACCAATAACCTCAATAAAAAGAAAAAAATAAATAAATAAAAATAAAAGAAAAAAAACATCCAAATAAATGTAGCATCTAAGAATCAATGTAACAAAAGAAGCAAAAGACCTCCACACCGAAAACTACAGCACTCTGAAAAAAGAGATCGAAGAGGATAGTAAAAATTGGAAACATATCCCCTGCTCCTGGGTAGAAAGAATCAACATAGTGAAAATGGCCATACTACCAAATCTGCTATACAGACTCAATGCAATGTCAATTGAAATTTCAACACTATATTTCACAGAACTAGAAAAAAGAATCCAAAAATTCATTGGGAACCATAAGAGACCGAGAATATCAAAAGTCATCCTAGGCACCAGACACATGGCAGAGGGTATAATAATTCCCAGTTTGAAACTAGACTACAAAGCCACTGTGATAAAAAACAGCATGGTACTGGCAAAAAAATAGACCTGAGGATCAGTGGAACAGATTGGAAGACACAAAAACAACTCCAGATGTACTCAGCTACCTCATTTTTGACAAAGGAGCTGACCATCCCCACTGGAGGAAAGATAGCCTCTTTAATAAATGGTGTTGGAGAAACTGGATCTCAACCTGACAAAGATAAAAACTAGAGCCTTATCTTTCACCATGTACTAAAGTAAAATCCAAGTGGATTAAAGATCTAAATATTAAAACAGAAACACTACACTTGCTGGAAGATAAGTTAGGCAGAACTCTGGAAGACATTGGCATAGGAAAAGACTTTATGAACAACTCCTCAGTGGCACGGAAACTAGCAGAAAGAATCAACACCTGGGAACTCATCTTATTAATAAGCTTCTGCACTGCAAGAGAAACCATCAACAGAACTAAGAGACAACCTACAATGTGGGGATAAATGTTCACCAGCTCCTCCTCGAACAAAGGACTATTATCTAGAATATTTAAAGAACTCAAAACAGTCAGCCCCCCCCCAAATTTAATGACACAATTCAAAAATGGGTGTCTGAAATGAACAGACATTTCTCAAACAAAGAAGTAAAAGCAGCAAGTAAGTATATGAAAAAATGCTCCACATCACTGGTCATTCAGAGATGCAGATGAAAACAACACTGAGATTCCACCTCACCCCACAAAGAATGGCAGCTATCAAGAAATCACAAAATAACAAATGTGGTGGGGTTGTGTGGAGAAAGGAACCCTTCTCCATTGTTGGTGGGAGTGCTGACTGGTGTAACCACTATGGAAGTCAATTTGGAGATACCTCAAAGAACTAGGATTAGAGGTTCCGTTTGACCCAGCCATCCCTCTGATGGGTATCTTCCCAAAAGAATTAAAAGAATCATACGACAGTGATATATGCACACCCATGTTTATAGCGGCACAGTTAGTAATAGCTAAAACTTGGAAACAGCCCATTTGCCCATCAGTTGGAAACTGGATAAAGAAGATGTGGTTTTTCTATAAAATGGAATATTACTCTGCCATAAAGAATGAGAAATTAGAGTCATTTATAGAAAAATTCATGCACATTAAGGATATACTCTTAAGTGAAATAAATAAGTCACACATGTATAAATACCGAATAATTTCTCTGGTGTGATAAACTACAATAGTACATAAGATCCTAATGGTATAACTGACAATGTGAAATAGGAAGAAAAGTGCTGAAGGTGTAGGGGGAAGTGGGAAGGATAGGGAAAAGGAAGTAAGGGAAAAGAAAAATATATGAGTAAATGACAAAATGGAAATAAAGTATTTGTAAAAAGGAATGGGGGGTGAAGGGAGGGCAGGGGTAAGGGGAGAAAATGAGAACCAAGACCAGTCATGTAAAGGTACAAGATCTCAATGATGAATGTAACTGTTCTGTTTATTCAAAATGTACCAATAAACTCAATGCGAAAAAATAATAATAAATAATTAAATGAACCAAACACTATGTGTCATCTAAGGTCACAGTTCTTATTAGGCAAGGGCAAAATTTCAAGGTTTTCTTTTCTTGTTTTGTTGTTGTTGCTGTTGTATTTTACTGTTTGTTTGTTTGTTTGCTTGTTTTGGTGCCAGGGATCTAACTTGAGTCCTTGTGCTTGCAAGGCAGGCAGGAGAACCACAGAATAAAATCCCAGCCCCTCAGAGCCCTTTTCTAAAGAGATGGGCACTTGCTGCCACCTGTTGGTCAGTCCTATGCAGGCCAAGTTCCAAGGAAAACTGCTTCTAACATTGCTTCAATTGTCATGAAATATTTTATCTATCGCACTGTGACCGAGTGTAACAGGTGCAGATCTGCTTGCAAATTCACCAAGTTTTGAAGCAGGGGAGAACCTGAAGCCCCACAGGCACCACTGTTCCTCAGAACACTTGCTGTGCATGATCATTTGCTGAGTTCATCAAGCTTGGTTCCCACTGTTCTTCCAGTAATCTGAACCCTTCCCCAGGCCATCGCAGCACACAAGCTATTCTGGGCCTTGTACCCACTCTCCTGTCCTCTGTGCTATCAAGCTTATTGCTCTGTTCTCAACCCACCCACTCGCCACCAGTGAATAACATGTACACAAGATCATGCACAAAAACAAAAAGTTATTCAAATACTATATAACAATATACAACACTGACATTTCTTTATTCAAAAATTGACCTTTCTTACTTAAAATCTATTCTTTGAACATTGAGGTTGTTTTACATTAATTTTTATATTTTTAAATATTCTATTAGAAAAATTGTACTCCTCAACCAGAATAAATGAAACCCATTGCTTTGCAAAAACCTACCTATCAATTTTTGCTGTATTTAACTGGATCTAATCAACCCCTGGACAATGAATTACACACCACCTTAAAATTTGCTCCAACACAAATGACTGATGCACCTGCCCCTAATCTGGTCCATGGATCAGAGACTCCAAGAGCAGGGATTATTTTACACAGCTCAGATTAAGTCAATGCTGTGAGAAGGTGGTGGGCTGTGAAGAGGCTCGGCTGGACACTGAGATCCATGTGGGAAGCTACAGGGCTTCCAGATCAGCCAGTTGTGAGAGACTCTCATTGTGAAAGTCTGTGTCCTCCTCGACCCAGATCCCTGTTGGGAAAGAGCGCTCAGGCTCTGACCTGGGGCAGCGTCATTATGGGGTTGGAATCTGAGCCTGACATGGGAGGGGAGTTATCACAGGTCTGGGAACAGAGGAAGCACAAAACCCTGGAAGAAAAATGCAGCACAGTTAGAAAGCTGGAATCTGTCCCTGGGGAAGGTGCAGGAGAGAACAGGCATGGGAAATAACACATTTAGATAGGGAACCCCAATTCTGGGTTGTGGGTGTAGCTCGGCAGGAGAACACCTGCTCAGTACCTACACAGATGTGAGTTTTCTCTCACCCCCCCCACCAATAATTCCTATGCTTATCCCCAAAAACACTGCTCTCATCTGCTCCATGGCAGAGATTGAGGAATCTAAAGATTCCCATGTTCTACGCCAGAGTCAAAACACAGGAGCCAAAGACGGGACCTACAGAGAGAGGCCAAGTGACCATGACAGCAAGTTTCCAAGAGTAGAAAACCTTTGACCAATTTTCATATCCTTTTCATTTAGGTGCTTTTTTCCTCTAGTTACTAAATTACTCTAGTTACTATGGAAAGGAGAATAATAAGGAAACACACTGCTTATCTACAGATTATATGTGAATTTGTCCAAGTAACAGGATCTTAACAACACCAGACACCATGCTGTGTTCTCACCTGGGAAACACCCAACAGGTCTCTGTTTCTCTCACAGTCACCTGAAGACTAAGCCAGTTAGGGAAAGCCAGAAAATGCACAGAGTTAGAAACGCTTTTGGGAGACTTAGACTGTTAGAAGTGCTCTATGAGATCCCTCATCACCTCTGTGTTTCTCTGTCCCTCACTGGGACTCAATTCTAATTTCAAATGACAGGAATAGGACTAAGTAGCACATTGTTCCAAATGGACACAAAGATTTCCCATTCCAAACATTAAACTTTTATTACTTCAGCTTGGAGGACTGGAAGGGAGAGTCCATGAGATTTCTCAGTGTGGACATTGAAAAAGCAGAGGAGAGAGAGGTGATTCTGGGAAAGGGCTGGCTCTGAAGATGGAAGAAAAGGGTCATGGGCCAAGGAGTGCGGGAGGCCTCGAGGGACTGGAAATGGTGAAGGAGATATTCCCTCCGGGATCTTCCAATACAGATATAGTCTGCAAATACAATATCAGGACACTGAGGTGCATGTGAGAAGTCCCACAGCAAAACATTAAGATGATTGATTTCTCAGGTTGGATCCACTAAGTAAACTGTGCAGTTTACAGTAAAACTACACAAAAATTTAGTTTTTTGTGAGTTACTGTTATAACACTTATAATAATGTTATAATGAGTAATATTCTAATAGTTCAACTTCTTGGAGCAGGAGGTAGAAACACTCTGCTAGCTCCAGTCCATGCGGTTTAAAGTAGAGAATTTCAAAGATCAGTGCAGGCATGGTGGGAATCCTTTGTTCCTCCTCAGAGACCAAGAGCCTGTTAAGCAAGGAGCCCTCTGCCCCAGCAGTGGCTGAGGATAACACACAACTGCACCTCTGGGGTCTCTGGTATTGTCTTGGGGCACAGCCATGTGGCATCACAAATTCACACTTTCACAGTAGGAGTCAGCACTCACCCTGCACACAGAGTGGACTCTATCTCCATGGGGTTCCTCCAGATCCACAGATGGTCTTACTCACCTGAGCCATAAACAGGCTCCTACCCTGCCCTTCACTCTTTCCACTCTAATGCACCCACCAGGGCATTTGCATATTACCCCAGGGAGGACCTTCCTGTACCACTGAGATAAAAGCTCAGCTCTATCCTAGCCTTGCCTGTGACTTCAGCTTCTCAGAATGAGGCTTCCTGCTCAGCTCCTGGGGCTGCTGATGCTCTGGATCCCTGGTAAGCACAGGGAAGACCGGGAAGGGAAGTCGGGGGAGTGTGAGCTTCCTGTCCTTCCTGTTGTTCCCATGAGTTTTCTGCTCATCTCAGCTCTTATGGCTTCACATTCAGAGGGGGAATATGCTGGTTAGCTCTTTGACAGGAAGAAAATCACAAGCAATGGCTTTTGATCTTGATGATGAACTTACACTGGAAGAGATGGATGATACACATGAATTCTAGAGAGTCCCTTCATGCAAATCCTGAGTCCTTTCTTAAAGAAAATATTTTGGTATACAAATCAAAAACCACAACATAATATTTAAACTTGTGCTGCTTTCTTATTTTAGGGTCCACTGGAGATGTGGTGATGACCCAGACCCCACACACTCTGTCCATCACCCCTGGAGAGTCGGCCTCCATCTCCTACAGAGCCAGTCAGAGCCTCGTACACAGTGATGGAAACACTTATTTGAACTGGATGGTACACAAGCCAGGCCAGGCTCCAAGAGGCCTGATTTACAAAATTTCCAACCGAAATTCAGGCATCCCAGACAGGTTCAGTGGCAGTGGGGCAGGCACAGATTTCACACTCAGAATTAGCAAGCTGGAGCCTGAGGATGCTGGAATTTATTACTGTTGGCAAGGTACACATTTTCCTCCCACAGTGATACAGCCCCGAACACAAACCTCCCTGCCTGGGGAGGCCCAGCTGCCCTCTGTGCTGTGTCTGGGGAGCAGCACTGCAGAGTCTCTGAGTCCCTGTGAGAGGAAGAGGTTGAAGAACTCAGAGGTGCAAAGTGCAGCTATGGCCTCTGCCCAGGCCTGAGAGTGAGCAAGAGAGCAGAGCAGCCAGGACCTGTGTTCTGGTGAGGACTCTAACATGGGAAGAGTAGGACAAGGCTGACTTCAAGAGGTTCCTTTGGACCCTGAAAATTCTGTGCTTTTCTGTAATTATATAAGCACAAATCACAGAAGCAAAACATGAATAAGCCTGAAGTGATTAGTTGAAAATAGCTTAGGCCTGTACTTTTATTAGCATTTTACTTTGCCTTGCACTTCTGTGATATCCTGTCAGGGCCCAGAGGGGATACGGAGCCTCAGATCACAGCACTAGGGAAGTGCAAGCCAGAGCCTCACTAAGGTAACTGTGATTGACTTAGGACCACAACAAGTAAGTTTGCTGCCATACTGGAAATGAGCTGAGACAGACAAACAAATTAAAAGATTTCCATATGTTTGGAAATGAGCTGTTAGAGAATTTGCAGTGATGTCTCCTACAATGGGAAGGCAGACAGAAGCAACAGTGGGAGGCAGGTGGAAATAGGGACTTGGAGGGGAACAGATTTCCAGTTTGAAGATGGCACCAGACCTTCAGCCAGCAGCATCCCATGCATACGCTATGTGCTTGTGTGGGATTCAAGAGCTCTGGGAAGCAATCTGAATTGAAGGCACAAATACAGAGAATCCTTGACTTATAGAATCGTTCCTGAAGGCTGATTATAACACTGTAAGTGAATGCAACTGAGATCGGGACACTTCCTTAGGTACAAACTGTAGACAACAAGAGGCAGATGAATCTTCCATTGACCTAATTAACCCTAGCTGCTTTTATGTCAGGCCAGTGAGGGTCCACTGAGTACAGACAGAAGGTGTGATCACCAGGAAAATAAAAAAAGTAGGCGAGGGCAGACTGGTAGCTGCTAGGTAACCAAGTAACAGAAGTGAAGACACAGGAAGAAACTGGCACTGGAGGCTGTGGAGTAGGAGTCACAAGTAGGAAAGAGAGACAGACAGAGAGACAGAGACAGAGACAGAGAAAGGGAGAGAAAAGGAGATCCTAGAACCAAGACACTGTTTTAAGAATGTCCTTTCAAACTAAAAGAATCATATCATAGAGAAGTATGCGCATCCATGTGTAAAGCGGCACAGTTTGTAATAGCTAAAACTTGGAAACAGCCCATTTGCCCATCCATTGGAAACTGGATAAAGAAGGTGTGGTTTTTCTATAAAACAGAATATTACTCAGCCATAAAGAAGGAGAAAATAGATTCATTCATAGGAAAATGGATACATATGGAAGATATACTCCTAAGTGAAACAAATAAGGCACACAAGTGTAAATACCAAATAGTTTCTCTGGTGTGAATAATCTGCAATAATACATAAGATCCTAATAAGATTACTGACATTTAGAAATGGGAAGAAAGAGTTAAGGAGCTAAAGGTGTAGGGAAGGTGGGATGTGTAGGAGAAGGGTAATAAGGGAAAAGAAAAAATGTGAGATAATGAAAAGATGGAAATAAAGTGTTTGTAGATGGGGAGAGGAGGAGGGAGTGAAGGGAGGGCAGGGACAAGGGGAAAAAATAAGAATCAAGACTTGTCACGTAGAGGTACAAGATCCCAACAATGAATGTAACTGTACTGTATCCCTAAAATGTACCAATAAACTCAATTAAAGCTGAAAAAAAAAGAATGTCTTTTCAGTTCACAAATATAAAATTGAAATGTGGAACTACATAAAAATGGTTTCTGCGGCTGGTTGTTATAAAAGTTGGGGCCATTTATACAATACAGAAAGATCAGCTCTTTCTGGGCAGGGCGAGTTTTCAGAAACCTTAATAAAGAGATGGGCTTTTTCTGCCACCTCCTGGTTAGTCCCATGCAGGGCAAGTTCCAGGAAAACTCCT